CCTGGGGGGCCAAGGGGAGCCGAGGCAGGATGGAGCGGCCCAGGCTGGGGCCACAGAACAGGAGCCGGAGTCTGGGGGTCGGCAGGACAAGAAGTTCGAGCTGCACATGGACATGGCTGGCTTCTCCCCAGAGGAGCTGACAGTGAGGCAGGAGGGCAGGAAGGTGACGGTGACAGGGAGGCGTGAGAAGCAAAGCACTGGAGAGGATGGAGACAGCTTCCAGGAGTACCAGGAGCTGCGCAGGGAAATGCTGCTGCCCGCAGGCCTGGATCTGGAGGCTGTGACCTGTTCCCTGTGCTCGGATGGACAGCTCCGCATTGAGGCACCGCGCCTGGCCCTGCAGCCCACAGAGGGGAAAGCCATTCCCATCAGCATCCAGGCAGGAGAGGGAGCCACACAAGGAGACACTGCTGCCAAGGAGGAGAAGGAGCTGGGAAGGGAAGACCTGACCCAGCCCAGCCAGAGTGGGTGACAGCGAGCCCACTGCCCTGGCCCAGAGACTGCAGCCATTGCCAGGGTACATTGGTGCTCTGAACCCTGCAATCCCATCCAAGTACATCATGACCTGGTGTCCCTCCTGGAGCCCTGACTGAGGGCTGTGCTGAGTCTGTAACCATGTTTGTCTCTGGACCAATTTTCATATCTGTTACGAACGTGGAAAGGGATGATTATTTGAGTTTTAGTACCACTTTATTGCCAGGTGACATTTGTCTGGCTGACTGTATTTCTTATGTGTCATGATGGAAATAAACCTGTTTCCCACATTGTAGTTGTCTGTGGATTTAATGGAAACTATTTTTTGTCTGATTGCCCAGCTCATTGTTGAGGAGGGGGAAAGTGTCAGTGCTGTGTGTGTAAAAATCACTCATTGAAGGGCATAGTATGGAGAAGATAGAATTACATCTGGTGCAGATGTACCGCGTGTCTTAAGTCAGTGTAGTCAGCCTTTACAGCACCATAAGGAAGGAGCAGATAGGCAGCAGATACCACTCTGGGGCATTGCTGCCTCAAGAAAAATATGTGGGAGATCATCCATGCACATGTGTCCTGGTGTAGTTGTTATTTTTCCTAGACTGACAGGTGCACTCCTGCCACTGTGGCAAGGCTCTGGGATGGTGCACACTGTGTGTACTCTTAGATATACTCTTTGTCAATCTGCTTTTTTCCCTAGTGTAATTTCCATTGTTGCACATAACTGCTTTACATCACAAGGGTATACGTGTGGCACAGGTCTGGGTCCTTACAATGTTAGATTACTATTGTGTAAGTGAGGGTGTCCCTACAGTCTTGGGAAGTAAATGTGACCTAGGGCCTGGACTTCTGGAGGAAACAGTTGTGAAGGCTGAAAGATATTAGACCATACTCTAAAAGTGTAAGAACCGGGACTCATGAGGAGAAGTCCTAAGAAGAGGTGTCCTATACTGGCCTGAGAGTGCCTGTGCCAGAAATCTTCCCTTTAACTACAAAAAGCAGTTGTAAGGCAACCACTGAGAGATGGACAGAAGGATACCGGCACCCACCCTAGCAATTTCTTCCAGGTGGACAAACCCTCTCCTGACACCTTGGAGCCAGAACTCATGTTCCCTGCCTTCCACTGTCATCAGCTCTTATGCTGTTGCCAGACCTTGCATTAAGACTCATGCTTTTCTTCATGGTTCAGCTGCTAGGATGAGGGAAGTTTCTAGCTTTCGTTACAAACAAAGAGTAAGTTTCTAGCTCTAAAGATGCAAGCAGAAGCTGGAAACATGGACTCTAGTGCCCCAAAGAGAGGCCAATGAAAAGACTGTGCCCTTCTACAAATGTCAACTGGGGGAACCTAATGCGGTCCATTAGTTGGGGGCCAAGATGGGGTTGGTGTTGCATTAGAGCAGGGGCATTCAACCCTGAGCCTGCAGGCCAGATTCAGGCCCTGAAGCCCATGGGACTCCTCAAGGGTCCAGAACTTTATCCATGGGTGGGCGCAAGGCAGTGGGAGTTGTTGCAATTCACACATCCATCAATCCCCTGTGGACAAATTTCCAAGCCCCTCAAGCCAGATGACATGGCCTTGCACATTGGATCCCACAGGCATGTGCAGGGCTGAAGCAGTGGAGACAGAGCTGGCACTTGTGGGACTGAGCCAGGGCAGCAGGCCTGATCTGGCTTGTGCAGGGCTGCAGCTGGGGTATTGTGCCCAATCTAGTGTGAGCAGGGCAAGTAAAGAGGGGATGGGCTATGGTTGGCACATATGGGGCTGTAGCAGTAGCCTGCATTCAGTGTGGCGCCATAGTCACAATGTGGGCCCATAGACTGGATCTGGCCTGTGGACCCACTCTGTGCCACTCACCTGTGCCCTGGGGCCCAAAGCTCGGGCACCACTGGGTTAGAGTGCTGATTCCGTTTTGACTCCAGGGCAAAACTTCTTTAGACTCAAGGCAACCGCTGTGAGACCCAAGGCCTCCCTCAGAAATTGCCAGCTCCCAGTTTTCGCTTGTTCTTTTGATAACAGAAATATATCTGTGTGACCATTTCATGGCTGAGAGAACAGACCACCCGCAACAGGGCAGATCGCCTCTAACAGGCTGCTGTCTTCAAGCTACTTGTTGGTGGGAGTGCTCCTGTCCAGCCCTCCATCCAAGACCTCTTGAGTGTACATTGACAAGGTTTTATAGAAGAAGGTTATGGGCTGCCCTGGTTCCCCTGCTTTCCCTGTGGCAGGTTTGGGTGTCAGGTCTGTGTTGTGTCAGGGCATTGCGGTGAATGTGGAAAACCTCTTCATGTCTGTGCACAAAGAGAAGGACACAGACACCAAACAGGTATACTTCTACCTGTTCAAGGTGCATTGCTTGGGGTGGCAGTAGCAGGAGTGCCCTGAGCTCCCTGCTCTGCTGCTGGGGTGATGTTCAAGTTGGCGCTAGGACTGATGGCCAGCTGGGCTGCATGTTCATGTCTCCCAATTCAAAAGTAGATTTTAGCCCTTCCATAGTAAGATGTGGGTCCCCCTGAAAGGTATGGAAAGAGCAGGTGGTAGGGAGCAGACTCTTCCCCCCGTCTCCCCATCCCCTCACTGGAATCCTTTGCGTTGTGAAGAACCCACATGCTATGGTCTCTACCCATACCCTGTCCCAGTGCTGGGCTTGGCTAATTCCCCCCTGCAAGGTCTTGGTTTCTTCAAGGGCTGCCAGGAGTTGTATGTGGCTAAGGATTTCAGCCTAAAGTTTAAGAGGCTGCTCCCAGCCTCTGATGTGCTGGCTCTTTGATGCTGCTAAACCTCTCACCAAAGTCAAGTCTGTGTGTCAGCTTGCTGTTGGGGTTCTGGTTTTACTGGACAAAGTGTCTTGATAGGCTGACTCTTCCTAGGTCTGTTTTGGGATCTGAGCCCCACGGGGGATCCGTTTGTTAGGTGGCTAAAATCCCATTCAATGAGCCCAACAGCAAAGTAGGTTTTTGGAAGCTGCATGGAAGGCCTGAGCCAAGGCCTCTAGGGAGAAAAACCTTCAAAGGAAGCACTGGGCCAGATCCGCAGCTGGGGTAGCTCGGTGCTGCTCTACTAGAGGCAACAGAGCATTGACAGCAGCTGGGGCTCTGGCCTGCTGCTTCTTGTGGCAGGGCCCTTTTGGTGCCTGCCACTTTAAGGGCTTGAGCAGGCAGCAGGGCAGCCTGCAGGTGGCTGCAGTGTCCATCAGGAGGGTCACATGGCCATCAGGAGACCGCCTGATTGGAGTAGGGCTACGTAACTGCAGGATAAGAGCAGGCCCTGAGCAACAGAGATCTGCTGCTCTCAAGTACCTCTAGAGGCCTAGGGTAGGAACTACGGGGATAAGGACGTCCCTAGGGGCCCAGGGGGGTCTCAAGCCCCAGGGAGTGCACTTCGGGCCTAGGGAGAACAAGACTCATCCGAGGAAGGGGCTTACAGCTTGTGGGCCTGCAGCAGGGCTAAGCAAACCCCTGATTAGAACTGGGAGGAGTGAGGCAGAGGCTCAGGTGAGCCCAACTCGGGGAAAGGTAGCCTCATATAAGATCTGTGGGGCCAGGCCAACCCAGGAAAGGATGGCTGGGGGAGTTGGGAGTACTTTGGATGCCATCTGTGAGGCATGGGACACAGTGAAGGCAAGGTCAGAACTGTGTATTATGCCCTTGGCATCAGGGCATGAAATGGGTAGCCTCCTGCCTAGAAACAACTACCTATTTTTATTACAACAAAGGTGTAGCAGCTGAGGCAACTGACAGGTGGGCAGGCTGGTACTGTGACTGGCTCCACGCTGGCCCCCTGTCACACTCCTGCTCTTGCTGGAACCCCTTTCTGCAACCGGCTTACCCTTACCTTCACTCTGCCATTGGTGGTGTATCAGCTGCCTTGTGTCCTGCAGCTCCTGAGGAAATGCATCCTGGAGATGAGCCATCCAGTGGTGGAAGGATCCCTTGGAACACCCCCATTTGAGAAGCCCAATATCGAGCAGGTAATTCAAGGGCTCTGCAGCGGCCCTTGGTTGTCACAACAATGTGCTCTGCTGTACCGATCTCCTAGTGTGCCTGCTCAGGGTGCCTCTCAGGCAGGGGTTGATCCCACCAATCCCTCCCACGCCTATTCTTTTCTATCATGGTTTTCAGTCTCCTTCATTTCTCCTACCCCCGTAAAACCAGAAGAGCTTTCTTGCCACTCATTGATGCTTCCCCAGGCAGAGGCTTACCTGAGCTGCAGTCCTAAGGCTCCACAAAAGCAAACCAGGCTAC